AATGATCCGAAAAAGCAAGTAAGTTATATTTTTATCAATTTTTTTTTTTAATAAATAAAAAAATCATTATTTTCTATTTTAATGGGTTTTTTTTTTTAACTTTAGATTAAAAATATATATCTGCCTTCGGAAGAAGTGGCAGCGATTCAGTGGCAATCTAGTCAAAGATTTTGTCAAGCAAGATACATCAACAAATATTTTTATAGCTGCTTTCACCACAGCTTGGGCTCGTCTCAAACTATACCAAGAGATGGACAAGCTTGGTGAGAATGTATTATACCATGACACAGATAGCATAATTTACGCCAGTGATGGTATGAACGATCCGCCTCTCGGAAATTTCCTTGGAGAATTTACCGACGAACTCGAGGGAGACGAAATTACAACATTTGTGTCTGGTAAGAATTTATATTTTACTGAATGATGCATAATAGTTTTTAAAAAAAAAAAAATAGTAAAATATGTATATTTATATATTTTTTTTTTTATTACAGGTGGTCCAAAAATTATGGCTATAAAACCAAAAATGGTGAGACTTGCTGCAAAATTCGTGGATTCACGTTAAATTACAGAAATATACAATTATTGAATTTTTACAGTGTCAGAGATTTGATTCTATCATTAGATGACACTGTAATAACTCTATGTAATCCTGCAAAAATTTGTAGGGATCCTAAAAAGAGAAAAATAGTTAACAAAGTAGAAATGAAAAATTACCGTATTGTTTATGACAAACGAGTAATTAAAAATAAATATAATACGTTACCATATGGATATTAAACATATTTTTATGTATAGAGAAAAAAAGATTTACTTTCATTAAAAAATTGTATATTGTTGTATAATGAAAATTGTATTAAAAATTGTAATTGTTATATTTATAAATAAAAATTTTTTTATTTTAACAAATTATGTGTATTTTTTGTTTTTGATAAATGAACACACACACGCAAAAATAATATAAATATTCCTTTATTTCTATCGAAATGAAATCCAATCATCTCGTTTTGCATACATTCGTTTAGATTTTTTTATTTTTAATATTGAATCATTCTGAAAAATTTTTTTATTGATGATGTAACTTGCAGGTACATTCATTTCTTTCAAAGCTAAATGAAATTCTTTCGAGCCTGCTGGAGATTGTTTTCGATTTCGAAGTAAATCTACGACTAATTTTACAATATTAGTTCGAGGTAAATGTTTTCCTTTATAAACGATTTCTCCATCGGATGCCCATGATAATATGGAAGGCTTCTCTTTTATAAAGTCCAAAATATCCCTTGCAGTATTCAAGTATCGAACAGGAGCAGCTTTTAAAATTTTGGTTGTAATGGAATCTTCTTTTTCAGAATCAGATTTTACGTCTTCTTCCTTTTCTGAATCTTCTTCTGTTTGTTCTTGTCGGGGAATGTATTTAACAAATTTTTGTAAAACTTGTAAATACTGGATTCATCTTTTCCCTCTCGGGTAAACCCTTTGTCCAAATTATTTCTTGCATTTTATTATCTAAGTCAGTTAATTGGTCAGCTACCTCAACGCGATCTTCTGGTACCAAAATCAATTTTCTACTGTACTCCATGGATCAAGGAAGTAATTACTGAAATCGCAGCTGATAATAGCAAAGATAAAAATCCTTCTCCCCATTGAACCAATATATTTCTCTTTTTATAAAGTGGTAGTTTTTTATCAGAAAGTTTTCTTACAATTTTTTTTAAAGGGACTAATTGATTCTTTTGTTTTTAGAAAGGGGTACGTTTCCTTGAAGCACATTCGCACAAAGATTTAATAACACTGTTTGGACAATCGACTCAGTTTGTTCTCAGGTGTTTTCTCTTCGTCTTTATCTATATGTTGGAACTGACCCCAAAACGGTAACCAGTCTTTCAAATCATCTCCGAACTGTATAAATTGTAATTTTGGTAAGGTGTACTTTCGTCTAAAGTTGCTAGGTTCAATTAAATCAGAAAGAATTTCCCTTAATTCATTATCAAGTCTCTTCGTTTCCAGTTCGAATTTTCTTTTTCTTTTTTCAACGGCTGTTGCCAATATTTCCTTAACAAATTCAGCAGCATCTTTATACACTGTACTATTTATAATTAAATCTTTTAATTCCAATATTGTTATACTAACATTCATAAAATTCTTACGTTATCTCTTTCAAAACAAAGTTTATGCTTTCTATAATCAGATTGCAAATAACACTTACTTTACTGGAAGCCCAGATTCGCCACAATAAAGTAAAATTACAACACAACAGCAATTATAAGTTAAAATACAACAACAACCATCTTTATTTTTCATAGAATTACAACAATGTTGCCAATTTCGCTTAACTGAACATTTCAAAATAAACGTTGCCATTCGCTTAACTTTTTGAATTGCACGTGTAAATGTAACAGACTGTATTGGTGATTTAAAGGCCAAACATAATATTGACAAACATAGTGGGATGATGATTAAAAGTCCAGCATGGTCAAGAGCAAAACATGTTTTACATCAAGAAATAGCATCCAGATAAGAATAAATGAAAATAATTTTTAGGCAAGTTGTGAATGCCTTATTTTTTATAAGAATAATAAAAGTCTTTTATGTTATAGTTTCCAAAATTTCATAAGATTGTTCAGTTGTTCTTCAAAATGAGGACACGAACATAGAAGAAAAGAAAAATTAGTAAAAAAATATGAATCATTTTTTTGTTGAACACAAATTTTAAATATTAAAAAAATTCAAAATGACTATTAATTAGTATAATAAGTCTGTGATTGATAATAATTGCCTGCTTTTAAATCTAAAAATATATATAAACGCTATTTCTTGCGTTAAACAAAACATTGTATTTATTATTATTTATTTATTGTCAAATCGCAAATTAAAATAAAACATTTCTTAATAACCAAGAAACATCTTTTTTGACACATCCAAATAATCCATTTCTAAAATTGAGTAAACTGAATGAACAAACAAAACGAATAAAATATTTAATGTTGAAAAGTTTAATACAGAGTGGGGAAAATTACTCGTTTTGAAGGAGGCATGAAAGAATAAAAATTGAGTTTATATACCTCTAAAAATTATTTTTTCTATTTTATATATCGTATAAAGTTCTTTCCAATAGATGGCAGCACAAATAAAATGAGACTGCCCAATCTTGGATTGCTCCTTCGTCGTTTTGCGATAATTAGAAAAGTAAATGCGTACCCAGATATATTTTTTAATTAAAAAAAAAAAATAACATAAAACTTTCACTTTAAAAACAAATAATAAATGACTTGACATTGTCATCCCAAAATGGAAAGGAACAAAAATAATGTTTTATTTTTCTGTTAATTCTCTTCTGAGAAGAGAGGGCTAGGAATTAAGGTAGTTAAATTAATTAGGTTCTTAATTATTATCATGTTATTAAGGTTAAACTTCCTTGACGTTATCAAAAATGGGGAGGGGGACGGAATTTTAGTACGTCAGCAAAAAAATATCTAAATAGCAACAGTATATAGCTGAAACACAACAGTGTAACAGAATATAGCCAAAAAGCAATAATATAACTTTGGTATATTTCGTATAGCTTTTAAATTTGTTAATGTCTCTTAAAGTGTACAGTATTTTTAACAGTTGCTTCTTAATGTAATTCTAAGATTAGTTAAATTTGGTTTTTAATTAATTATTTTAATTTAATTTAATTCGATAAACGTTTGGGGGGGGCTTTTATGAGACTTATTATTTCCTTTATTTCGCATGGTAACTATAATGTTTAACAGTCTGAGTTAAATATAAAAAAAAAAAATAATAATAAATGAGAAATTTTTTTATTTTGTATGCGTAGTATTGCCAATGCGGAAAAAGAAATAAAGCTTGTTTTCTTTTTTTAGAATTTTGAAAAGTTCATTAAATATGGACAGTCTTTATTCTTTGTATTTTAGTAATAAACTATTACTTAAATCGATATCAGTTTTAAAATATAGCATAAATTGATAGTAATTCATCCATTTAATACTGTTAGTAATTATAGAAACTGCCTTCATATTAAAAAAAATACTATGTTTTATAAATCATTTTCATTCTAAATATAAATACTGAACTGGTTCTTTCTTCGTATTTGAAAGAACTATTTCTTTCATACTACGTGATTTGTTACTGCATAGAATCTATGCAATTATAATAAAGCATTCATGTAAAAATGCAAGTATTCGTAAGTAGTTAAATGCAAATATTCATAAGGTTTGATTTGTAACTCTGTTTACCTAACGAAAACGGACGTACCTGTTTCGGAGTACCTATCGGATAAATATACCCGAAAACCTCCACATAATCATTTTTTTTTTTTTTTCAATGCAGCTGACAACCACTTAGACAGTTGTCTTTGATGCCTTAAGTCCACAAGCGCTTAACTTTTACCACAAGCGTGGCGCCGACGTTATTCACATAGCATTACCCGGGAGGTGCGTGTAGCTTGAAGATAAGCAACGGACGTGGAGTAACGATCTTGTTAGACCGGGACCTACGGTTAAAGTGGATTCGAACCACTACAACCATCCATGGCACCGCCGGACTGTGGTACCGTGCGCTAGCCACTCAACCATTCAGGCCTCCACATAATCATTAATATAGTTAAATTTACATTATTGAAATTAAATCAGGAATTTAGATAAAGAAAATTTACTCTATTAAGTTAAATAATAAATCAAGTTACTCAGGTACAATTAGGGGGAGTCCGTAATGCGTTTAAAAGATGCTAAAATATCAGTTTAAATGCTAAAACTATATTACTAACATGACCAACATATAATCGTATATTACCAGCATGAGTTGCATCCATTGTTTTTAGAAACGAGAAGATTCGGAGACAATATATGTAAACTTTCGCTGATTAGAGGATTTTTTTTTTTTTTTTTTTAATGTATAAACGTAATACAACTATCCCTTGAAAGTTTGTTCGGGAAACAATACCCTCCATCAACGCTACCTGATTTCTTGCCGCATATATAAATTAAATATAGTATGTAGATCACCGGAAGTCAAGCATCATTGGGCGCAGTCAGTACTTGGGTGGGTGACCACCTGGGAACACCGCGTGCCGTTGGCATTCACACATTTGGACCTGAATGGCCGAGTGTTTGGCGCTCTGGTGCTCGGTGCCACAGGTTTCGGGTTCGAATCCCGGCGGTGCCATGGATGTTTGTAGTGGTTCAGAATCCATTTTTAAGCCGTAGGTCCCGGTCTCTTATGACTGTAATAGCGTCACGGAGCCAAAGTCAGACTTCTACGTACGGGTGCTCCATCACCACAGAAGCTGCTTCCTTCCTTCAGCCATGAGTCCATATGGGTTCGTGGGCTTGGTCTAGATTACATATCTTCCAAGTGGGATAAGTAACGACAACAACAACAAAATTTATTGACAACGACCAGCTTCTTATCATTATTAATTGAAAATGATTTCAGCTCATGGGTTGCGGCCATTCTCTCATTCAACTGTGTTTGCATACAAAAAGATCAGAAATACGTGATCAAATTTTATTGAACCAATTTAAATTTCAATGCTTTATATTGTACTCGTAGTTGTAAAATAAATTAATAAAGATAGTTTGTAATTAATTATTGGCTTACAAAAAATACATATTTTTTTGAAACTTTATTCCATGGATGGTGTTCATGGATGCTTGTAGTGGTTCGGGATCCACTTTAAACCGTAGGTCCCGGTCTCTTATGACTGCAAGAGCGTCACGGAGCCAAAGTCAGACTTCGACCTACGGGTGCTCCATTAACAACAGAAGCTGCTTCCTTCCCCTTCAATCATGAGTACGTATGGGCTCGTGGGCTTGGCCAGCCAAGTGGGATAAGAAGCAACAAATGTAGGATGTAATAATTTTATTTAACTAGCTTTTTGGCTTCTTTTTACCTTGAGATAATATCATTTATTCCAAGGATTATTTCACGTCAAATCTACAAACTCTTAAACAAAAATTGCACATCTTAGATTATGCAACTCTCAAGTCTATTCAAATCTAAGATGATGAAATTAGATGGTAGGAGTGTTTATTTGATATGGAATAGTACAGAAAAGTTACATTTTCATGTTTTCTTATTCATATTCATACCTTACAGGTAATAAAAAAGTAAAACATCTCTTGCTTTATTGGATTATATCTAACATGAAAAACAGATTTTTACATTTGGTATTATCAATCAACCTTAAAGTTCTACTAAAATTTCAATGCAGAATTAATCATAATTAAATTTTTTTTTAATTTAATGCATTTCATTTCAAACAGTAAAATATTTATAAATAAAATACAGCAAGGAATGTGTTGAAAATATATGAAAATAAAAATACACCTGCAGTTCTACAAAACTATATTTCAGAAAATATTTCTAATTACATTGTTGATCCGAAAAAAAAAATTTCGGTATACTTGATTTATATAAGATATTAATGCATAAAGAACACATTTATAAATGTTTACTTGCTTCACACGTTTTTCTTGCTTTATTTATCATGTGAAATCTTTCCGATAGATGGCAACACAAGTAAATTATATTTTGAGCTAGTTGCTTGAAATGCATTGAATTTCAATTTAGCTTTTCATCTTAAGTTTAAGTCGGTGGATTTATTTATCGAAAACTATCAGAAGATAATTAATATATATACGTAAAATTAATTAATAATTTATCATCTTTCTTCTAGTATGATAAAAAAATATTCCATCCAAATCTTTTTTTCAAAACAATCTCTCATGAAAACCTTTCTCATGTAATATCACATAAACTTAACATACATATATTTTTAATAAATTATGTTACCATCTGATACATAAATATGTTATGATATACACAGATGTTAAAAAATAATAACTACAATAACAAAAAAAAAAGTTTTTAATACGAGAATTAATCAGCTAACAGCAACTTATTTTTCAGAATGATATCAAGTTCCCATAATTTAAGAATTTTCAATCATAAAACAAATTATTTTTTAAACAATTCAATCTTGACCATTTGATCTTTTCAAATTTTCTACTTTTATGGTATAACTGTCTTCGAAGCTCACATAATCCCTCTCATTTCATTTAGTAAACCATAATAGTTTGCATTTCATTTCATTTAGTAAAACCATAATAGTTTGCATTTCATTTCATTATCCGTTTTAGAGCTTTGGTCTTGTTTAGTTTGGTTTGTCGCTCTACGGTCATTTTGTGCACACTTTAGGCTAATTAGACAGGGACCTACAGTTTAACGTGGATTTTTACAAACATCCATGTCACTGCCATGATTCGAACTTGAAGCCTGTGGTACCAATGGTTCAGAGCAAGCCAATTGGCCATCAGGCTGTTAACTGATTCCCATTTGTCCTTTTTGATGCTTTCAAGCTTTTTGTCAATTTCCGATCTTTCTGATGATTTTCTTTGTAATTTTATTTCTGAAATTGCATTGAACTTGTTTAAGCTGATGAGATTGAGAAAAAAATATATAATGGGCGTATACTAATGCCACCGACAATTCTGGACTTTTTTACTAAACGAATTTTTTTCCGCAATTAATAAAGGAAAATGGTTAATTCATTCCCAAAAAAAATCCTATTGTTATTTTGCATATTATAAATTTTGGGATTGTATAAAATAATTTAAGCTGTGCTTAGTACTAAAATATATAAATAAAAAGCAGTTACATAAAATAGATTTTTTTTTTCTTTCTAATGCAGCTGGCAAACACTTAGACAGCTTGGTCTTGGATGCCTTAAGGCAAGCGCTGCACAGACGTACTCACTTTGCGTTACCCAGGGGGCGCGTGTAACTTGAAGATAAGCCACGGATGCGGAGTAACAATGCCCCCGCAACGCTCTACGATCCTATTAGGACCGGGACCTACAGTTTAAAGTGGATTCCGAGCCACTACAAACATCCATGGCACCGCCCGGACTCGAACCCGAAACCTGTGGTACCGAGCGCCAAGCGCTAGTCACTCGGCCATTCAGGCCCCACGTAAAATAGATACATAAATTAATTTAATGTTCTCTTATCAGTAAGTGATGTGCAGCAATATGGGGTAATAATGTTACCTGGCCGTCGGATTTGACAGTTACTAAAAATCAGTGCAAAGATCTTTGCTTGCGTCTTCTCAAGGTTTTTCGGATGTATGATATTGATCCAAGCTTGTTTGGACTTGATTGGGATGGAATTGTAAAGTTTCTGACAGTGATTCATTTAGCAATATTCGCATTCCTAATAAAATTGTATACCAAGGTAGCGCTGTATACAGTGTTTATATATATATACACTCAAGAGCCAAAACATTATTACCACCTGTCAATAACGAGTTGGCCCACTTTTGGCGCGCAACACAGCTTCAACCCGCCTTGGCATTGATTAATACCAGTTAAATACCGCTTCCACCTGATCACGTGCCCTCCACGCCATCCGGGCGAGTTTATTGCAAAATGTAGGGGTGGTCATAATGGTTTTGGCTCTTGAGTGTATATATATAATATATAATTTTAGATATATAAATTAATTTAATTTTTCTTATCTGTCTTCAATACGTGCTGTAATATGGGATAACAATGCTACCTAATCGTCGGTTTCGTTAATTACTAAAAATATGTTCAAAAAACATTGCATGTGTCTTTTTCACAGGATTTTTTCAGAAATATGAAGTTGTTCCAGTCTTGTTTAGATTTGGTTGGAATGGTGTTTTTCTTGCGAAGTTTCTGAAATCCATTCATTTAGCAAAATTTTTGATGAATGAAAATCGTATTCTCAATAAAATTGTATATCAAGGTACGGTGAGATACAGTGTCTCAAAATGTACACAAGATTTGAATTCTTAAACATCCTAAATATTTTGAAAGAGCTGGTTTTCCTTCAAAATGCACCTTATTCTTTGATGTTTTTGTTGACAGTGTGTATACCATATTGTTTTTTTAAAGCAAATCCTTTTATACCTCTTATTAAAAGCATTATTTCTTACGTGAATTTTGGAACCCCCTTTATTTATAATCTATCCATTTCTTATTGTAATCATTATATATTTAATACAATATATTTAAAAAAAATTAATTTTTAACTTTAATCTGTAACATTCAATGAAAAAGCTGAAAATCTTTGTTTATTGTAAGTATTAGTGTACCAAAAAATAACAAAATAATAATTTTTTTTTTTGACTCTGTATGGAAGAAGTATAAGCTAAATAGATATATTATCCCTTATTAACTATTGGGGTTATATCTTAATATGATATGCAATACAGTATATTATATTATCTCATCATAACTGTTTCGATTATTCTACAATTTATATACTTAAATATATCCCTACACTTTTCATAGAATGAAATACTGAGAGTCGTCGACCTTTTAGTTTATGATATTGTAATGAAAATTTTTAATTCCGAATGTTTAAAAATACATCCTAAAGTGATGCGATTTTGTGCATTTTAATATGTACAGTAATAATAAATTTCAGTGTAAGAATATAATTCAGTAGAATTATTTAAGGCGCTTGATGTCCGAGGGACTGGCTCTCGGTGTCACAGGTTTCGGGTTCAAGTGCTGGCGGTGCCATGGATGCTTGTAGTGGTTTGGAATCCACTTTAAAACCGTAGGTCCTGGTCTAATATGATTGTTGTATGTAGAGCTGACAACCCTATCCCGTAAAAGAAAACATTTCCTATCTCGAAATCGGCCAGTAGGCAGGCGTGGAAGGATAGGGCTGCTGCGCCACTGAAGAAGAATTATTTAATCTCCTATTTCCTACTTGATTTATATAGAATACCTCCTCTTTTATTTATTTAGCTTTTAATAAAAAAAATATAATCCCGTTTTCTTCATCGTCGCAACAGATTCATGGCATGACCAAGACTGTATGTTTACTGGTAGACTTCGAGAACAGAAGTTATTTTCTTTTTAGAAAAAGGATTATTAGCCGCACGCTATATAATCGTGGTTTAAATTGGATCCCGAACCACTACAAGCATCCATGGCACTGCCGGTTCTCGAACCTGAAACCTGTGGCAGCGAGTGCCATAGCTCTAGTCACTCAGTCATCAAGCCCAAAATCCCATCTTACACAATATTTTGACTAAACATC